GAAGCACCTCTAGTAGCCATCTGAGGAGTGGTCACTGGAGGTGTCCCTAGACTGCAATGTAAACAATGCCTTTTCTCTGAAAAGACAGTGTTTACTGTAAAATGCCTGCAAGAATTGACTATACTTACCAGAACAAATACAATAAGCTGTAGTTGTTCTGGTGACACGAATGTCCAAATAAACCTTGTTTAGGGGATAATTTCCTGTAGTAAATATCTAATATTCCGTAAAGATAGGTTTGGGTATAAATTCATGATTACACAAAAGCAGCTTTTTATTCACACTAAGATAATCAAATCATATGTTGTTTGTTGTTGTTGTTAATGTCTTTGCAAGAAGCAACTTCATTGTTGTATATTTTACCTTGGCCCCAGCTCCTAGGCACAAAGAATACAGATTGCAAGTAGAAAAATGTACGGGGAGAGAGGTGTGGGAGGGAGAAAACGTGTGCTATATAGAAATAATGCCATCTGTAGGCTTTAGACCGAAAATAATAAACCAATAAACAAAAGCTATTGTGGTCCAGAATCCAGAGATGGCATTATTTCTCCCTGTTATACGCTTCAGCGATTTGTAGAGTGAGACTGTAGTTTAATATTTTTAATATAAGAAGCGGCTGCATATGTGAAATACATTGGGATACAGATTAGTTCTAAACAGTCTTCTGAATTGTGATTAAAGGACCACTCTAGGCACCCAGACCACTTCAGCTTAATGAAGTGGTCTGGGTGCCAGGTCCTTCTAGGGTTAACCCATTTTTTTAATAAACATAGCAATTTCAGAGAAACTGCTATGTTTATGAATGGGTTAAGCCTTCCCCCTAATCCTCTAGTGGCTGTCTCATTGACAGCCACTAGAGGCGCTTGCGTGCTTCACAGTGAGAGCACGCAGCATCCATAGGAAAGCATTGTAAATGCTTTCCTATGCGACGGCTGAATGCGTGCGCAGCTCTTGCGCTGCGCATTCAACCCAGGAGAGGATCGGAGGAGGAGGCAGAGAGCTCCCCGCCCAGCGCTGGAAAAAGGTAAGTTTTACCCCCTTTCCCCTTTCCAGAGCCGGGCGGGAGGGGGTCCCTGAGGGTGGGGGCACCCTCAGGGCACTATAGTGCCAGGAAAACGAGTATGTTTTCCTGGCACTATAGTGGTCCTTTAAACAGAAAAATAAGCAGGTCTATCACCGTGGAAAGCATCCAAATGTTTCTTTGCTTGTTTCACATTTGACCCCAGAATTGTTCTGTTTGTAATCAAACATCATTTTGATCAATCTACCTTGAATTAATATAAATAAATTTAGTTTAGTAAACCATGTTCAGCAACACAATATTGGAACTACTAGGAGATATTCAAAGTAGTCAAGCCTAAATGGACACGATTAGGGTTATTCGCTAAAATAAGATTTGTTGGGAATTCAAAGTGAATTTGAGACTGAAGCCCAAAATAGCCAAACTAGATTTTATTTTTTTAAATTCACTTTGATTTTCCAGCAGTTCTCAATTTAGTGAATAACCTGAATTTGAAACAAACATGGTTTATTGTATTAACCACAGGAAGAGAAAAAATACAGTAACAGTCAATCAATATCTAATCAATCAATCTTTTAATTTTATACATGTTTGTTTTAGAAGGGCTTAAAATCTGCTACTAGCCAGGCCTAGAGATAACGGCCTAGACTGGCTGCGAAACCACACACACTTCACCACAACTGACCCCGAGGCAACACTTGACGGTCTATATCACTATCGTCTTTACTACACTGCCTTCACCATTCAATACCTTCCCACATACTCCAAGGTTTGTATTCCTGACACTATAGTGCCTTTAACAACCCAATGTGTTTTTGGGGGTCAGGGGGGAGTGGATAT